ATTATAATAATTATTATTATTATTATAATAGTTAGTTTTTTTACCTAGAAGTTAACTTTAGAATAAGCAACACATAACATTTTATACCTTAAAGGCACACTATCTGAAACAGAGCTTCTTTTTACGATTCTATTTCTCGTTTCTAATGGCTCCCATTCATAATCACGAATTTTGTCATACCAATCTTCATTGAACCAATCTTTGTAGGAGTTAAGCTAAAAATAATGACAGAATGAAGAAATGAACATTCAAGTAACCTTCCTGTATAAAAAGGAAAGTTTTCTCGGTAAATTGCCTATTTAGAAGTAACAAGAGTAATACCTAATAAGAATCGTCCGAAACACAGGAGTGAACTGCAGAAAATATTTCACAGAAGATTTTAAAATGAAGTTATAAAAGTAAAACAGATGCAAAAACAACCTAATCGTTCTAGCACTGTCAATAAAAATGTCGAGTAAAATTTTATATAACATCGGACAAGAAAATCTGAATCTACAAAGATAAATTTTAACACACCGCAGGTCTCTTAGAGGTGATTTATTTTGCGTTCGAATCCGATATCAGGCACCTGTGATCGTTTTATTTTTAAATATTCTACTACAAGATAAATATCAATATAGCAATGTCAATATGTAATTAAACAAATAACAAATTAGAATTAGAATTATAGTAACATCAATAAAATCATAGATAAAAACATACCCCACAACATTTCAAAGACCACTGGATATTATCAAGCACACGTTTATACTTCGGAAAGCTTCGATAATTCTTCATACTTCGATATAATTGTTGAATAATAAGTTCACGGCAAGATATTATTTTCAAAAGACATATAATGGCCGCTATTACATTAATTAAAATAATCCAAAGAATACTCAGCCAAAGCGGGCAACAAACCACTTTTGCCTTATGACTGAAATATGTACGATGATTAAGGTACAATACTGATTAAGTTTCTGCGTAGAAGGATAGTAAAGTTTTCTGAAAGTGCTTTGAAATCTTTCATTTACGAATTATCATATTTCACTTTTCAAAATACCAAGCTCTCCAAAAAATGTCCTAATAAATAGCCACAATAAATAAATATTAGACAAAATCAAACATTGCTCAAATTAATAAAAACCTTATTTATATACATAAAAACCTATCTGCCAATTAAATCCACGCGTTATTCTTCAGTTACACTGTGAATAAGGCACATGCAACAGTCGAAATATCAAGATACAAACAAAGTAAGGTTCATGACATTCTAACGTTTATATAGTACTAGCTTTCCGCCAGCGGCTTCGCCCGCGTGGTCTTGTAATAAACATAAAAACCTTCCTTTTGAATCACCCTATCTATGAAAAAAACCGCATCAAAATCCGTTGCGTAGTTTTAAAGATTCAAGCATACATAGGAATATAGGGGCAGAGAAACATATGTCGAAAAAGACACATCACGTTTTAGGTTTTGTTTAATACCAATAATATAATCGTAACAATTTCTATCGCTGTCTGCTATCTATTGAGATAAGTATTTTGATGGGCTGTAATTTAAAAAAATGGCGTTTCATTGTCAGCCAGGCTCCATATTCAAATATTCTGGCTCTTTCTTAATTTGGAAAAAATATATATATATATATATTTACTCTATCTGTCTCCCATGAGCAATTGAGCACAACATATTAACATTCGTAGGTAGTATTACGATGCCGGAGAGCAAAACAAATGCATTTATCAAATCTGTTCCAGTCAACAACAACAAATCACCAAAACCTGAAAGACCAACACAGGAATCATAGGTAATAGATAACAGACATTTATCCAGTTCTATTGCTTTTAAGTAATTACACCTTAAGAACGTAAAATACCAATATGCCATCTAATATCAGAAACTAATAAATCTAAAACAGAAACCTACACTTAGTATGTCCTTAAATAGCCTCATATTAAACTAATATTGAAAAGGCGCGGAAAACTGTAGGGGCTGTCGCATAAGCTTCGCAATACTTATCTCGTGTTTATGGAAGCAAAATTGAAATACAAAATGCTAAGACTCATAGAATCCAAATAATGATTTTGTATGTGTGCAAAAAGTTCTACAATAAAATGCACGAGAACACAATACATATTGTTTTTGTTTACGATTGCCATTCGTGAATTATCAATTTGAGAACATACTTAGTTATTATTTAAATCCTTATCATCTCTTATTAGGTATTAAAAATATTATCATTTTAATAACAATTTGTGTAATACACTTCACGTTATGTAATATTTTTTTCGGGAATAACATCCAACGAATTTTCGTATCGTACCTAAGTAAGCTGTACCGAAATTCACAAAAAGAAAGAAAAAATCTAACTAAGACACCAAAACAAATTACATACAGAAAAATAGTAAAAGCGACCAGCCTATTGCAATTATAGACATGAGCCACAGAAAACACGTGGCCCATACTACAAATGGAGAATTAACACCGGAAAAATTCATTTCGTGTATCACACTACTTTAAAATATACAATTTGTTAGAATTGTAGACTTCTTGTTTTATTAATGGCTTATCTGCGCATTTCTTACAATTCTACCAATGTCAAGTGAATAAAATAATTTCTACAAGTAAAATCAGAATCGTATACAAAATTTTCGATTGACATTAGACGCCAAAGAGAATTTAATATCAACCTCAGAATATTATCAACAGCCTTTAACTTATGTACCTAGGAGCAAGTATTCATCCAGGGTTAACATTTTAATATAAGTTTCTTTGTACGCACGGCCGCACGTAGGCAGACCTCGGTTAGTAGGGAAGTTCTATGCGCGGTTGACACAAAGTCCACAATATATAGTCTGACATGCAGCCGTGTGTACGTACAACGATAACAATATGCAAATCGATTGCACAGTATTTTTGTAGTGACATCGAAGAAAAACATATTATTGATGAAATACGACAAAAAACCTTACACTTTCATTAGGTAAACTTTTAGCATATTTAAGCCAAAAACCAACAGCTTGAGCCTAAAAAACTATAAACATTAGCCTGGGTGAAGAGGGCTACATTAAAATAACCTATATAATTTTAATAAAAATACATATAGAATGAAAACCATACATTTCTTATAGGACAGGGTTGGCCAACTTGTTTAGACCGAAGATCGACTTTTCACTAACGTCACCCAGAACGATATACCAATTACTTTACTTCTAAAAATCTTAAATGAAACAGCATAGTTCGTACACAATTATGTAGCATTTTTATTTTATTTCTATTTTTTGAATTGCCATGATCGACTGGACTAATAGTCGCGATCGACTGGTTGGCCACCCATGTTATAGGAGCATTTCCTAATAATCTATAGAAATATAATATTTCTTTATTTTATACAAAATTTCCAACCCAGAAGTATTTTAAACATAAAATAAAGCACTAAAAACCACCACACTAGATGGGGACTAACAAAAGGTGATTTTTGCAGCAAACGAATGGACCAAAGATAGTCATTTCCGTTCCATTTAACTAACATTTAAAATTGCAAAGTTCGAAACTTAGATATCAATACAAAAACGAAAAATTACAAATAGAATATGAGTTGTTTATTGAGTTTTGAAAATTAGTTTACTTTTATACATGAAAGAAAACCGGAACGGTTGTCATGGAGAAATCAAGAAAGTACTGTGGCGACATCTAGTTTGATTTCGGGAACTAATGTTTTGTTTTATACTTTCTCATTTACGTCTATTTACTTCAATCACTTCAAAACTATTAATATCACATCCAAAACTTCTAATATTTCATAAGTCATCCTGAAAAATTCCCGAAAATTTCGAAAATTCCTGAACCTTTCGGAAATTTTCAACAGTAGGTACATCTTAGCTAAACCTTATACTGAAAAGAACTAGCAAGAAACTCGGCAAGGTCTGCTTTTGTTTCATTTCAAAGAGAGAAGTACAGTTAAAAATCGACCAAGTGCGAATCGGACTCGCGTACGACGAGTCCCTACTATATACGTTCGAATCTATAAAAAACGCAAAAAAAATAGTTTGTTGTATGGGACCCCCTTAAATATTTATTGTTTTTATTTAGGTAGTTTATTTGAAATTTTTTTATAGGGAAAGACAGATGGAGAGTAGATTCTATATACCTATAATATTAAATAGAAAACAAATAGAAAATAGAAAAAATTAAGTAGTCTAGAGCAAACTTATCACCACTTGCAGCACCCGTTCAAGAGCATGACGCATTGGCCTGCCATCGCTACGCTCAACCATATTATAAGGAGATAGCTGTTTACGGCTATGAAGTTATGTGTGTGGCACAATTTAATTTAATTAGCTATGACAGACTGACACGCAGAAATCCTCTCAGGGTTCATTTTTCCGTTATTGGTACGGAATCCTAAAAATGCTAAATAGTGACGTAAAATGAAACAATGTTAACTAATATTAACCTAAGATATCCTCTGATAACATCTTTATCAGCATGATAAGCAACATGGTAACTGTTTTTATAATTCTGTAACAAAGATAAAACTATATTAAACTTTTTATGAAACAACAAAACAACTATCATGAAAGAAATCATATCGGATTTCTTTCATGATCTTTCGTAAGGAAGGATCTTAGGATTCGACGGACGATTCGTTTATAGACCTCTTTATAAACAAGACGTACTGCATAGGCAGATATATTTCTTCCCTGCGTTATCTTAATACCCCTATGTTTAAACTTATCCTAGGGTGCAAGTACATACATAATCAAATACTGAAAGTAATAAAAAATATAATTATGTATTCAATAACAACATTATAATAACCATAACAAAATAAAATTCTTATCAAATCTACATACATATATATTACATTCACGTAAAAATCATACATGTAAAAACTTTTGATTTGAAATGAGTTTCTTTTGTCAATTACTCTCTTTAATCGGTGTAATTAACCTAATGTTTATTTGTTGATTTTTTTTTGAGGGCGCTAAGTTCCAGTGTTATGCCTAGGGCTTAATGAGTAAGCCCTGGAATAACTTAATTCAAATTATGAAATTTAGAGTATAAAAAATTTCAAATAATCTTACACATAATATTAATATTCTTGTTTCTTTTTGAGGACCTGCAGATATTATTTATATAAACTATCCACTTATTCAGATATAGGTTCTGACTGCGTAACATCTCCCATTTTCTTCAGTTTGGTGGCGACATTAAACTCACAACCAGTGCTAACGATTACATCTTCAACTGTTACACCTTCAGCTAATTCTGTCAGAGTAAGACCACTTTCTTTGTCCACTTCGAAAACACACTGTAAATTAATATATTATTTTACTAACAAAACAAACTATGAAATTCTTTACGGGTAAAAAGAAAATGCATTTACTGATCTGAAAAATGAAAATAACAAAAAAGAAGACTCCTCAGTCAAGTCTACCCAAAAACAAGTAGTGGTGAATTCAGATGTTTATATTTTTGTTATGATAAAAATAAGTTGACAAAACTCGATATATTGTATATTCAATTTGTTTTTAACTAAACGAATGGTTATACTACTATTTTTTTCATTTTATCGGATTAGTTCTCCCATTATAAGAAAGAACTAGCTTTAGACTTTAGAGTAACCAATCCATGTAGTGGGATCTACCTAGTCTCTACTGAGCTTAGTATAAAACCAATAGCGTAGCGTGGCTTTGAGGGCCCTGTATCAAAATTATAAAACTAAACTCTTTTTACTTTAGACTACAAAAATCGGTATCAATTGGAATTCTAATACGGTTAAAGTGAAAAAATAAATAAAAAAAGTCATTGTACCTTTTCAGTAATAATCATATCCACACAGTTCTTGCCAGTGAGTGGCAATGAACAATCTGATAGAATCTTGTGGGCACCATTTTTGGCAGTGTGTTCCATGGTGACTACGACTTTCGTTCGTGGTGCCGACACTAAATCCATAGCACCACCCATTCCTTTAACCATTTTGCCCTTAAATCGTTATAACTTTAATTATTATTAATGCATAGCGGTTTACTTAACCGTAGCATTATTTATTACGTATTAATTATATTTACTGAAACTCAAGTGTTTCGTTGAAAGTGTTCAGTGAAGTCTACAGCATATATTTTTTAAACGAGAGGACAGACATTTTACCACTTAGAAATGTTAATAAAAATCAGCGCCATTGTAACTGACTTAATTAAAGAGAGGCTACGTTTTGATTTAAAAAATATTTCAGGTCATTTTTGTATAAAAGTCGTAAAGCGTAATACAGAGACATCTACCGTCCCATAGTCTTAATAAAATAAAGAACCCTAAAAATCACTCCTTATGCATTTCTCTATGTAAGCATAGGATTATTTAATTACTAAAGTTTGATAAATAATACACACACAATACATATCAATAATCAAAGAGTTGTAGTTTTCCCTCTTTCAAATAAATATACCACCTTATTGGTCATATCTTTATTTTGGGGGTAATGCTATAGCTTAATAAATATAGCGTTTGTAATGGAAAATTTACAATTTTTTATAACTAAATTAAAAAAAAAACGAGTTTCACACTCTCTTTAAACAGAGAATTGATTCAAACTTATATGCGAATGTGCATAGTACTACAACGTAGCCTTAAATCACTGAAAATGAGTCATAGTTTAAAAAAGTATTAAGATAATTACAGGTATCATCCAATTCGCTAAATCACCATATCTAGAAACCTGCATTGCACCAAGAATTGTCAGGTCAATATGACCACCTCGAATCATAGCAAAGCTATCATCAGATGAAAAGTATGATGCTCCTGTAATTATAAAATGTTTATTTAAATATTGCTTTTCATAGGGTACATTAAGAGCCATATTACATCGCAACTGTGATTTCTGCATGATTTTTCTCGGAAACAAAAACAAATTAACAATTTTGACTTGTTGAATAGTGAAGAATAACTCTTGGTATAGAAATTAGTGGCTCAACTTTTTGGAAATTTTGCTCATCTTTTTAATTAAATCCAAAATACCAGAGAAAGTTTTTCATAAAATGCGCAAAGACACTTTTTTGAAGTCCTGGATTGAGCTACTGTTCTTAACAAACGAAATAAAAGAAATAGAATGATATCTCTTATATAGTCGTAAAGTAAACAGTAGCTCGAAATTTTGAAATAGCACTGATTAAATATAGAAAAACAATTATATTACAAACCAAAAAACATCAAAAATTGCTTGAAGTTAACTTTGAATTTCTCTTAGCCACAACAATATTATTTAACAAAATTTATGCCAGATTAATGACTATTTCATAAGGAACAAAGTTATTATAATTTTAAAGCATAAATTTATTATATTATTTCAATAAATACGATAAATGTAAACGCAAAATCACTACAAAATAAGATGCAGCGGCCGTCTGAGCTCAGTACCGCGCGAGCGCTCCTCAACGTTAGACCTGTGTCGCATTTCTTCGCGCCATTTTTCGATCTAGATACGTTCGAGCGAGCGTAAATAGAGCAGTATAGTGGGACTTCCAACTTTGGTCACGAAGTTCGATTTATATGGAATTTATATAGCTTATTGAATTATTTCTAATACACATTTGTTATTTTCAGCATAGGTCGAAAGACCCCTAGGTATATTTGTATAAGAAAGTTAAAATATATATTTATATTATGAAATGCAAATAAAGCAAGGTACTTCTTCTCTCAATACACTTATACTAGTACATAAAATTGGAGTGCATATTTGTAATATTAAAATAACCGCTTTTCACTAAATACATTTGTGTGTATACATGGTACATATACAAAAATAATATATTTTATCTGTCTGTCTGTTAGTTCTGGCTAATCTCTGAAACGGCTTGGCCGATTTTGAAGAGACTTTCACTAGAAGTTGACTTACGTAATGAGGATTAACTTAGACTTATGGCTCGATGCAATTCGACCGATATCAAATTTATCGGAGATCCGCATATGAAACAACTTTTTCTAAATTCAATATATTTTTAATCCCGGACGCAAAAACGACGCGGTGTTATAAGTTTGACATGTCTCTGTGTGTGTGTGTGGTGTGTTTGTGTCTTTTTGTGGCATCATAGTTCCCGAACGGATGAACCCATTTTGATTTTGTTTAAAAGGTGTATTAGTCGGGAGTGTTCTTCACTTTGATGAAAATCGATACAAGATGGCCGCCGCCACAAAATGTCGGATCACATATTTTATCACCATTCCATCAATATGGGTATCAAATAAGAGGGCTTGAGTAGTAGAATACTGAACACTATGACAAATTTCAAATCCAAGATGGCCGCCACCAAAAATGTTGGATTACCTACATATTTTTCACGACTCCCTCAATACGGACATTAAATAAAAGGGCTTGAGTAGTAGAATACTGTTTACTATGACAAAATTTTATATACAAGATGGCCGCCGCCACAAAATGTTGGATTATCTATTTATTTATTTATTTTGTACACACATACAATTTCATATGAACAAATGTAACAGACATTAGTACAAGGGCACTGCTTATTTCAAATTGAAATTTCTACCAGCAGGCCCAAAACAGGAAAAAGAAATACAATAAGGTAGTCAGTGTGTACCTCCTAAATAAATTAATATGGAATAAAAAAAACAAATTCAAATACCGGGAAAGAGAGAAAATAAAAATACATAACGGTTCAAACATTATATAAATAATAATATATATATCTATAATATATAAAGATTAATAATACCTACACTATCCAATATCAACAACAGGAAAGATAATGATCCTTTACTCTTTTTTTGAACACAGAAATAGTGCGACTGTCACGTATATCGGCAGGCAAAGAGTTCCAGAGTCTAGCAGCATGAACAGTGAAGGAATATGAAGCAAAATCCGTTTTGTGTGAAGGAGTTTGAAGACTTAAGGTGGGATCTGCAAAGAGCATCAGGAGAACGGAGAAAGGAGAAACGCTCACGCAGATAGGAAGGATAGACGGGATTATACAGGATGTTGAACAGAAGACAGACAATCCTGACATATCTACGCTGACGAATGGGAAGCCACATGAGCTGCTTACGTAAATGTGACACATGATCATACTTACGAAGACCATAAATAAATCTAATCGCTAGATTTTGAAGTCGTTCAAGTTTGTTTAATAACTCCTCAGTGGCATCCAAGTAACATGCATCTGCATAGTCAAGAAGAGGTATAATTAAGGATTGTGCTAGTAACACTTTAGTTTTAAAAGGTAAAAAGTTTTGAAGGCATTTAAGTGTGTGAAATGAGAAGAAGGTCCTACGACTAACCTCAGATACATGGGCAGTCCATGATAGATTTGAATCCATTGTAATTCCAAGATTTTTTACAGTGTCTGTTAACTCGATCTGAGTCCCATCCAAAAGCAGGGGTGGTAAAGATAATGCAGAAATAGAATTAATATTAAACCTGCTACCTATCACAATGGCCTGAGATTTACTCGGGTTAAGCATGAGGCCAAACGATTTTGCCCAAGTACTAATGCGATCCAAATCGTTATTAATAGCTACCAGTGCCGAGTTACAGTCTTCTATTTTAAAGTGTCGATAAAGCTGCAAGTCGTCTGCATAGAGGTGGAAGTTGGAAGATATAACTTTAGTAACCGAGTTAATGAAAATAGAAAATAAGAGAGGTGAGAGAACAGCACCCTGAGGAACACCCGCACCGAGGTCGCACCAATCAGAAGATTTATTACTAAGACGCACACGTTGCGTGCGTCCCCGAAGGTAGGAATCAAACCATGAGAGAACAGAAGGAGAGATATTGCAAGAACGAAGAATAGCGAGAAGAATGTCAAAATCGACAGAATTAAAAGCACTGCTGAAGTCTAGAAGAATTAGAACTGTAAGAGCTTTATTCTCCATAGCCCAACGAATATCATCAGTAATGTTTATTAAAGCTGTTACAGTACTGTGACCAGGGCGGAAACCAGATTGGTACCTATTCAAAAGGGAATTAGAAAAAAGAAAAGTTGATAATTGCTTATGAACAATATGCTCAAGAAGTTTAGAGAGAAGGGGAAGAATAGAAATAGGACGAAAATGAGATGGGACTGAAGGATTAGATACTTTAGGCAGTGGAATAATGTGCGCCATCTTCCAAATTTTGGGAAAAGAACCGGATTCAAGTGAGAAGTTAAGTATGTGAACAAGTATAGGAAGGAGAAAAGATAAAATAGGGGTAAACATTCTTACGCTTAGGTTGTCCTCGCCAGCAGCCTCGGAAGAAATGGCTTGAATGGTATTTTTAATGTCAGTTTCGGATATTTTTGAAAAGACAAAAGATGTGCAGTCTGGCCTCGGAACCAGTGAAAGTTCTGCGAGCGTAGAATCCTTTATGTCACCATCGATAGTAGAAGGAGGAAGGGAGAAGTGTCTGTTAAGGACGCTTAAATCTACATTGGTAGACACAGTAGCAGTAGATTTCCCCACTCCTACAGAGCGCAAAAACCGCCAGGCATCAGTAGGATTGCGATCAGTAAGAGAGCTATGGAAGAAGCGTCGCTTAGCATCCCTACACATACGACTGCAGCAATTTCGAAGAACCTTAAAACGAATAAGATTGCGGTTAGTTGGACGTTTCTTATATGCTCTTTTTGCCTTATCTCTTTTTTGAACACCAAAAAAATTGACCAGCCATCCAATTGCCGGCCTTTGCAATCGTCGCTTAACCTCCTCAATCGCAGATCAAACGAGCTATCCGGCACCATCGAGCTTTTCGGATATTGCCGTATTTTTTTGTAAAATTCAATATATTTTGATGATATGGTAAGTATGAGCAAATGAATCGTTCCTCGATATTATTGAACAGAAAATCAAAAGCAGATCGAGCGTTCTACCACCTTCATACATTTGAAGTGATACCGCAGACCATGAGATTTGTGACTGATATTGACAGATAGTACAATCTCATGAGCAAACACTTGAGTTTTTCCATACATTTTATAAGTGCATGCCATTCGTGTGATATCGTTCATTCATATCGAATAACATCGCATCTAGCCATGAGAAAAGAACCTTAGGTTACTTTCCATTCGCATAAAGCCGCGGGCACAACTAGTTTAATATAATTCTAATTTACTACTTTTCCAAACAGGAAACAGTCCATGTTTCCTATGGATGACGAAAATATTTCGAAATCGTCGACGAAAAATATGGCACGAATATTTTTTAATTAATATTTATAATTTTATTGATATATTGTCATCACTATTTATATTTATAGCCTATGATTTGGCTAAACTTGTTTCTTTTAATTTTTGTCCGATCTTAGCAGTCGTGTTTTTAATTTTTAAATAATTTTTATATTTTATTCATTTTAATGAGCAGTTAATTTTGTATACAGATTATATATTTTTAATGGACCTTTAATTTGATACCCATAAAGTTATGATTATAAAAAAAATACTTTTTTAAATGGCGTCACACGTCCCCATACCTATTTAATATTAATAATTAATCTAGTTTCACTGATACTCTATGTATTTTGTGGTAACTTAGGATGATGTTTCTAATGATACCCTGTACATTCATATCCGTTATATCTTTCAAAAGTTATGGTGATTGTGGACTCGTAACCTTGAACAAGTTCTCGAGAACTCAAATCACAGAGTGAAAATTTGTCATATGGCTCTTAAATAAAAGTCCGTCAATATTTTTCCACACATTCAACCCAATTTGATTCGACTGGAATACACCATATATTTTTTATATAACATTTATTTTCTATTTTACAGATAATGAATCGTTCTCCGATTATCACATATAGGCAAAAATCATGCAAAGATGTTTAGACCTTGGACATACATGTATACCTATTATCAAAGCCTAATCACACAAAATTGTTCTGATACCAAGCAAGTACTAAAATAGAAATCCAGTATGTAAGACCCAATTTGATTTAAAACAGGAACTTTAATACTTTATGTTAAGTACTTGTAATCAATCACCCACATAGGTATAAGAATGCGGCCAGGGCTATGTATATACCAAAATCAAAATATTCTTTATTCTCTCAAAATCAAGTCAGTATAAAATTGTATATACCAAAATCAAAATATTCTTTATTCTCTCAAAATCAAGTCAGTATAAAATATGTACATATTTAATAATTACCTGGAACTACAGTAACTGTCTCTTTTCCTGCATTTATTAAATCGGGATCCACTTGGTCTTCAGTAGGGAATGGACCAAGACCAAGCACACCATTTTCAGATTGTAAGAAAATGTTAACATTCTTTGGGATATAATTGCTGGCCAACATAGGCATACCTTCAGGAAAAACAAATAATAATCTTAGTCTAAAGTTATCATGTAAAATTATATGATTATATTTTTTATATCATACCTATTCCAAGATTAGCATTCATGCCATCCTTAAATTCTAATGCAGCACGTTTAATTATTCTTTCTCTCATTATATCTGATGCTTTCTTTTCCTTGTGTCCTTCAAGCTTCCTTAGTGTTTTTCTTTCTATCCTTTTCTCAAACTTATCACCTTTGACTACTCTGTGCACAAATATTGATGGAATATGCACATTATCAGGATCAATTTCATCAACTATTTCTTCTACTTCAGCTATTGTGACACGGGCTGCTTTACACATTGCTGGATTAAAATTACGAGCTGTCTTTCTAAATATTAAGTTACCATGTTTGTCTGCTTTCCATGCCTTAATTAAAGCATAATCACCAGTAATTGCTTCCTCCATAACATAATTTTTACCATTAAATTGTTGATTATGACGAGGAGCACTTGCCAGATTAATCTATATTAAAAATTGATTAATAATATTGCCAGATTAATAATATTTCAAACAAAACAAAAACTGATTATATTAAAGACAAATTTAGTGAATACCTTTCCATCTTTACAATATTTAATGGGAGCTCCACCTTCATGAATGAGGGTACCATAGCCTGTGGGAGTAAAGAAGGCAGGTATGCCTGCTCCACCAGCACGAATCCTTTCAGCCAATGTCCCTTGAGGTGTCAACTCTACCTAAAATTAGTGTTAAGGTTACTCAATGCCATAATACACACACATCAAGAAGACAAATAGTATACATAAAGGTTGTTGGGACCTAATGTCTTTTATTCACTATCAACATGTTAAAATTAGATTTAAGATTATGAAATAACTTAATTTTCTTAGAGATCTCACCTCTAACTCTCCACTTAAATACTGTCTTTCAAATTCTGCATTTTCGCCAACATAAGAAGCAATCATGCGTTTAATTTGTTTAGTTTTTAATAAAATCCCTAGACCAAAGTCTTCAACACCTGAAAATTGAAGTATAATAATAATGATTTGTAAATGTATTATAGAGTTTAAGAATCCAGTCATATTATAATGAAAAGAGGATAGTTTTGATTCTTTGTTTGAATTAAATAGGCTCAGAAACTACTGGACTGATTTTGAAAATTATTTCTCAATTCATATATGGCATACGTCACATGCAGACAGGCTATAATTTACAAGGGTAACATTGAGGGAAACAGTTATTATTCAGAGCATCCACAATGCTTAAACATATGAAAAATCAAAATTATAGTAAGTAAAGTGTATGAATATTTATTTATTACATTTAGCAAATTTAAATTAAGTTTAATTTAATATTTATCATATATCATATTAATCATATTAATGTAACAATTGTTGGTGTACTAAATAAATATATGTTCAGAGAGAACTTATTACCTACACTATCTATTACCTACACCAAAAGTCAACAACAATTTATTATTTAATACTAGAAGAGTAACAGTAACCAACCATGTAGAAAAACAATACTTTTAATTACTCACTATCTTAGCCACCTGGCAAGCAAAAGCCTCTCCTGCATGAACCCATCAGGTGGACTAGTCTACTTAATAAACCTTTGAAGGCCTGCCTACTAAAAAACTTATTATGCTTGGGGATGAGCAGACCTCTGAACACCCACCCTACATGAAAAAAAAACAAACCTGCATTATTTGACACCACAGTGAGACCACCGACACCCGTTGTCTTCAAGGCTGCAATCAAATTTTCTGGTATTCCACACAAGCCAAACCCACCTACTAAAAGTTTTGACCCATCTTTTATATCACTTACAGCACTGGTAAAATCATTGTATACTTTACTTCTTTTAGATAGAGTACTATAGCTTACACAGGATAAAACCTACAAAATAAGTTGCATTTTGAACAAATGACGCATTAGTGAAAAAAACAAGAAAACAAATTTGTTTTTGGGGTAGTAACATACCTTTGGGACAGATAAATTTGTTTTTGAAACTATAGTATTTAAATTGAAGAGAAAATATCCTCTCGAAGACTTCCAAGCCATATTTATTTGATGTTTATCAAACACAAAAACCGGCGTTCGTTTCTTGTTTTGTTGTTTCTTCTTAACTTTAATGGCACTTTGCGTAGTTTTAGATACTAAACAAAACGTCAAACCCTTGTCATCTCAAATCCCAAAACAAAACAGCTGATTGTCAAAATCAATTATAAAAACGCTCATTACAATATGTAGAATAATGTAAACATTAAAATTTCTTTAATTATAATGTAATTTATTGGAGACGTGCTCTCACTATTTTAGTTATTAATCTATTGATAAGAAAATGTGAATCGGTTTATTCAATACACAAGGTCAACTAGCTCTAGTTAGCTAGAGATGTGCTGCTGTCTTTCCATTTCTCTGTCCAAAATATATCGGGAATAATTCCCAAGTTGGGGAAATAAGAAATAAATACAATGTAGTAGGTATTCCTAACAATATTACTTAAAAGAACCACCAAGAAACCATCACGTTGTTTGTTCGCAACGCATTGTAATGAACCATAAAGTAACTCATATGTAGGGTAATGAACTCCGAAATCATCATCAATAAAATTGTGAACACATTCAACGGGGACTGTTTTCACATTTAATATCTAAATAACTATTACAGTAATTTTACTAGGAAGAAAATTTTAGAGGAGAAAAAATTGTAAAAAGTATCAACAGTGAAGTAGTAAATTTGTGTTTGAATATGTATGTTCAATGTTTATGTAAGTGTGCATGTATAAGAGTAAGAATGTTTTCGTGTGAATGTGTTGTAGTGATATATGTTGTCAGTAAATTCTTTGTTTCGTTATAATTTAATTTGTATAGCCAGTTTCCAATTTTACTTTTTAAACAATTAAAAGTCACGAACGAATAAAATTAGGTACTCTAATATTTTTATCGAGTTTCCGATAGATAGCGATGTAAGATAATATTTGACATCGTTTGCTATCCTGGGCCAGTATGAAGAAATACAAGAAAAAAAAAAAATTCCATTTTCTTTTTTGAGATTCTCGTAAACGCCCATCTCTAATCAAGTCTGACGTAAGCGTAACCATATTATTCACACAAATATAATAAATACCACTACGACTACGATTGCCAGCATGTATTTAAATACCCAAACAAGTTATTCCTGCTCTACGTACCTACTTAATGTTTATATGATAATATATATAACATATTATTAACATGATAGAAATATTGTAAGAAGAGAACCAGTTAAACTAGGCACATAAGCTATTAAAACTTTTTGTCTTGTTATTGATAACAACATATCTTGACAGTAGGTATATTGACAGTTAAATTTAAATCGATGATCAAACCGGATGAGCTGCAAGATCTAGGATAACTAGTCTAGATCCCTTTAACGTTTTTCTACTTTATATTATTTACTACAGCTTAAAGAAATACAACGGTAAAATTTTATTGCCCCTTTTTATTATAAATTGCATGATATGACCACGTTTTATTTAACTTGCATTGCAGTTAGTAAACTTTAAGCTATAGATTACTATAGATATTAAATGAAGGGTTCGCTGAGATCTAGAGAAAATTAAGACACATATACACATAGTAATAGATAGATAAGATAAACAAGTGCGTGTCGGTACTCGCGCACCGAGGGTTCCATACTAACCTGTAGGAATTTATTAAAAAAATTTTCACTATCTGATGTAACCGATGTAACTTAAAATTTACGGTTTTCTCAATTTTTGCTATAGATTCAAGATTGTAAATTCACGGAAAGTACCCTGTAGGCATCGATTCCCTTGCGAGTTTCGAAACAGCTGTATCTTTTGATTGCGTTGGCTTAGAAGTTTGATTTTTTCGCTGCTCCGAGGGACATCTGCTACAGCACGCAGGAACACCCTAAAGGGATAGTCGTAAAGCAACCCGAATCAAACAAATCTTGATCCAAGACTTATTAATATGTAGTAATGACAGATTAATCGTGTAAAGATCGCTTTGTAGCTACGCGGTACATACGGTCTCTTTCAACCAATGACACTAAGCCATAAGTCTTCCATTCATTCATAGATATGATCCAAGCGGATATTTATTGGGTTGAATATTGACAAAGTATCAATAGGTGTGTTTCATGTATACCTAATGTAATGTTTAGCACGTTGTACTTGTACAGTCGACAGCACGTCATCGCCAGACTTTACGAATCTGTCTAAATTCTTCACTTGATTTTTCACCTTAACACTTTAAAATTTGTGTTTAAAATCAACTGGAAAAAATTGCCATATTGTTCAAAGTGGTAACTGATAAAACAAACGGAAGCTCCCGCATCATCACTTTGATAAGACTTATCTATCATTTCTATCCTATGTTTTGTTTCAATAATTTGCGCACCAAGGGTTCCGCAGAGTTCTAGGTTTATCCTGTCTGTGTACTAATTAGTGTAATATTTTCCTGCTTTTGTGATGTGAATATTGCAAACATAGCATTTAGTTTTTAGGATTAATAAATTCATATTTATTATCAAAAATATCAATATTTAATATTAGTACGGAACTCTCAGAGTACATGCAGGTCGGTCGGATTCGCCGGACTTCTAGACCGGAATTTTTTCTATCTAATAATCGTTAACCTTTTAAGGTTAACTTAATGGAATCCTAAAAATTGCTATAAGTAGGTAGGGACGTCATATTTATTTTCTTATTTTAACAAAACTAAATAAAAATATATAGGTATATAAAATATTTTATTTTCTATACTTTGAACTAAATGTAGAAACGAAGGATACAAGGGTAAAGTTCCACCATTGAAAACTTATTTTCTACTGAAACATTATTGTATCATATCCTAATGACTGTGTACAAATAAACTATTAATAACGAATTGGCAAATACCTCATTCAACAGTAAGAATAAATTATTATATCTATTTACAATAAAAACATAATAATTATACCTACATATATCTAGCTTAATGAGGAACATATTTGTACAATGGAAATTAATTTTGTCATAAAAGCAATGTAGTAGCTTTTATTAAGATTTTATACAGTTAACAAAAATCACATTTTCATATTTTTTTATAATCTAGATGGCGCTAGTTGGCGATCATTTAATTAACTGATAAAATAACTAGACATGTGAAAGTTAATGATCTGATGACTTGATGATTTAAAAAAAGATAAAATATTTTTACTTTAGATATCAATCTAAAATATTTTACCTTTCTATGAAATATATTTTTATCATAGGCGGTTTGCGAAAGATGGCGGCTTGTTGTATCGGCCAACCACCCAATACAATAAGGATGCATACGATACGCATATGATACCGATATTTATAAAGAATACGGTAAGATCAGCAAAGATTGATATTATAATTTTTATCATTATTATACATAAGGAAATAAAGAAGCTGTATGAACCTCATATTTCGCTAGTTGCTAGTTATGAGGTGGATAAAGGAAATCGAAATAAAAATCGCAGACGAATTGTGCTGCGAATATAAGAATAAAGCGGAGCAATAGCAGTTTCACATGGATAATTTATAACGCGTGAAAATCAAAATGTATCGGTGTATCGGGAAATTATTATCGCCGATTCGAAAATATTAAAAAGCTCATTATACTACCGATATATGTATATTTATTGGATACATCATTAGTGCAAAGGGCCTCGCGTTCGTTGGAAAATCATAACATGCATGCCGTAAAGTTTTTTACTAATGCACAAAAAAACAAAGCAAAATTAGAAGACTCTTATTATCAAAGACTTCTATGTATACACTAGTATATTATAAGTAGTACGCATAGTTTGTCTTTGATTATATACAGTATTTGCCTATCAAATAATTATTTGTTTCGATTAATATGGATAAACCTTTCTATATTAAAAAAAAACTATATTTTTCCAAAAATCTCTATTTTTTGCACCATTGGAGGGCATTGCAAAATGCGCAGAGCCCACATTAAATTTAGGTCTTTACCACATTGTGTTTTACTATAACTTTTGTTGCAGGTTTACAGTATAAAAATAAATCTGCAACAAGTAAAAAACAGTGGCGGCAATTTAATTATTTGACGGTCCAGAAATCATATTTTTTCACAAATTTTCTACAAGATTAATCTAAATTACGCAGTTTTGACCCCAAGCAGACCAGCGCCACCTAGCAGGTACAAAATCGGACTATATTGCTATTGTGTTTGGGCAGCAAGAATTTTAAATCTAGCTACACGGGATAAGTATGAATTTAGTAAATCAGAAGGTTTTGAGTATCCGTCCATTTATGCTCTGCTGCCATTGAGACGCGTAGCTTTTACTGACTCAATGAGTAGACAGCGCGATTAAGACTGCTTTTACCCACCAACAACGAATAGATATACCCACCGACAATGTCTGCGTCATTTTAATTCAATGGAATTAACTAATATAAATTCTTCATATCCTAAAATAGAATAATCACTTCCAGGAAATGAATTTCCTTAATAAAGTGTTTGGTATATTTATGTTCAGTAAAAATAGTAAACCATGAAAATCTTTTACATGTACTTCATCGATAATTTTAATGTAAAAATAATAAATCATAAAAAAAACCGAGTACAGTCGAGAAAGTTGGCGATCTACCACCAACGCAAGTTTCTTATTTCTTGAGAACATTTCTAATAATTTGGCGTTTGATATAGATTACCACGAACTTCGTGATAGTAAGTGTACTCGTGTGATAAAACATAGTTTTTTTTGCTCTAATAACCTAATTAACATAGGTATAATATTAATTTGTAAAAAACTACTCTTTATCACAATAGGTTTACTATTATCTTAAGAAAATACTTCTCAATATTTTTATTGTACACACTTAACGACCAAATTAGTGAGGTTTTTAAAACTAAAATGACTTATACAATGCTCACTACTCTGGTCGCGGCGGTTTTAAGGCACGAAATGGTTTTTAACTCAGTCGACCGGCTCTGGCGTCGGTAATCACTCCCCACAATTCAATTATAAACTCATCAGTAAATCCAAATTCCTGGAGATCACTGTTATCGATAGCATCAGCTAATTGCATTGAGTTCGACTTCCCTTCGGATAGATCCCACATTTGTGATGCTAATTCTGAATCATTAATGCCCATAAAAGATTCTAGAAGGCCATTTATTTTCTCTATACCAGCTTTAGATTTTTCGTCATGCTGAAAAATAATAAATAATATTTTAAATAAAATAAATTATAAATATTATCTTTTATCCATATAAAAGGATAATTTTTAATCACCAACCATCCCACAGGACTATATAATTAACATTTCTTCTACAAGTTTGGATTATTCATTACAATGTACTTTCATTAAAAAAAAGTAATAATAATAATTTAATTTACCGCTCGAATGTGTATTATAGCTCTATGAGCAACATCAATTTATATCTATTGTTTCTGTACTGTATAAATTGTGTTACACTACGTCGTTGTTTTGGGTTGCGGCCTCATGTTACGTAACTTTATTTTTGCTTACACGTCTTGTGACAGTTTTACGTAAGATCACAAAAGAACCCGTAAAGTTAGGTAGATTTCAAAAGCGCGCCCATTCGCCCGAGTTCAATTAAATGAAGGGCAGAATTATATTATTTACCTTCAAAATTTTTGATCCTTAAAATTCCTTTTTTTTTAATAATAAATGCTAATTTCCTTTAGATATAAGAATAATTATTAAACATGATAGGAGAACGTGGAGGCAGAATATTTATGTTATATCTGGTGGAGGGAAACATAAACAGGCAAAAATTTACTTACATAGAAAATAGATAACGCTGCTATATCTATACGAAATAATATTTAGACATACTAAATATAACGACAGAAGGTAGAATAAAAACTTCTTAAACAATTTATTGCGTTAAAACCCATAGATCAAATGCTGTAGTCTATGATTATATCTATCTAGCCCTGCGAAGTTACCTATATGTGTTTTACAATTAATCCTGTATATATATATATACATATACGAGATATATAGATAAATATACAAGTATATCACGAATTTTAAGTACCTACAATAAATTGCTCGAATCTCAAAGAAATAAGTAGTGATTTTTTTTCTGTCTACAATTAAATAAATTATCGTCGGCTTGTATAAGTCTAATCAAGTATAGTAATAATTGATGTTATATTTTTAATTTAAAGTCCTAGTTTTATTTCAAATTTGTCATAACGTACATTTAAATATTAATGTCTTACTAATTAGAAATAGTCATTTGCCGACTTCCAGTAAAGTTTATTGATATTAGGCATCCATTCTCATGATAAGCTATAATGATGACTATTTAATTATTTCAAAAATATGTGGATTACAATATTACCTCATCCTCAATAGTTGCTTGGCCATTTGCTTTGAATCTTAAAGTCTCCTTTCCAGATCCATATGTTTGCTTTTTCCCAGACCGCGCGCTGCTTGTTTTTGGACCGATGCTTCCAAAACCACTTTTCAGCGGCTCTACTAAACGAATTATAAAAGTTGTTCCTCTAGGAATGTCTTTCAGCCTTTTAGCCACTTCATAATGTCTTTTGCCGACCATATTTTCTCCGTCTAATCTCTCAATGTGGTCGCCGACCTGAATAAAAGTAAATTACTTAATTCAATAATGGTTTACTTCCTACTAAATTCTTAACAAGTTGAATATATAGTTTGTTATTCGATTTTCTCCATTGTACTTCTATCTGTACCAGTGAATGTGTTATTTATTAGAGCAGTACCTTATTATCAGTTTTCAGAAACTCACTATATGTAGACTGTTAGTTATGTAATCACCTCGCTACCAGACCAGAGATGCTCTGTAAGTTTCCAAACAAATGACTTACTATAGCCGTTATTAATAAGTTACGTTTTGTAAACTCATCTTATGCTTAATAGAACTATTGATTGAGTAACGCTACAGGAATGCCAATAACACCTGTTCTCTAAGTGTAGCTTTATGTTGTGTGTTAATATTATAAGTTCGACTGCAATTGATTTATTTGAATATAGCTAACATATAGGTATGTGCTGGAATTATTACTGGTCTAATAACGAGTATGTTTATTAATCACCACCTTTATTCCAACAGTTAGAGTCATCTTTGGTAATTCACCAATAAAATATTGCAATGATGATTTGATTGCTTATAAGAAAAAAGACGCCTTACTCAATACTCAAATTTGAATCTAAGCAATGTATGTGATGTTGACTAATTTTTATTTTACTTATGATATACATTACAAATCAATGTAAAAACATACCTCTATGTGTGATATTTTCGATACTATTGAACCTTCTTTTATTCTTTTGATGAATGCGTATCCTGCTCCGTTATCTGTAATTGTTAATCCAAGAGCATCTTCTGTCTTCACAATTTCTATTTCTTTGGGGCGTCCTTTCCTGTGTGCAAAAATAAAGTCTTCTAATCCTATTTGACCACCGAGTAATTTTTTCATGTCGACTTTATGAGTATTTAATGTGCAGAAAAGAATCTGAAACCACAAAATAAACATTTCTTATTAAACATAATAATTGGAAATGGTACAAAATGAATAATCAGCATTATGTCACAAATCATGACCTAGCCTTGAAGTTGCGTGACTGAGGTGTGGTCCGCAGATTTATTTTTGCGGTAGTCTTATTAAGTAGAGATTTATAAATCGACTTATTGACGTGACTATTATGAATTTGCAGTGTCTACATATAACAACGGAAAACGATCTAGTTTCTTATTGGAACATTATTGCTATTGATTGATGACCTCTTTAACATATTTATTTTGACAATTCATCATATTTTTTTTTTCCTTTCCTTTTTCTGTTATAGTATAAAAATAATTTCTAATATCTACCGGGGTATTTCACGTGACTTTGTTTTTTTTATGTTAATCACGCGGGATTTTGTAAGTGGAGATTAATCACTATGTGATGTCATATACACTGATTTTACAAGAGATACCTAGTTACAATAATGTGAACAAAGGTTTTAATGCAATGACAAACTGTTAAATCTCATTGTTTTTTTTATGTACATCAGTTACCAGCAGCTCTACATTTCACCTTGACATCAAATATTTTAAGTGTACATTGAATAAATACTTATTCACAGTCAAGCCAAGAGAGTTAAAGCAAAAGTTGTGATGTTGTAAAATATTTTTAAACACGTATTTTTTTATTTTTTCCGTAATCAATTAATAATGATGATACATTGAACTGAAATGTCGCATGACGTCACGCTTTTGTACATTTTCTACAAACCAGTAACATAGGGAGGCCCCATTTCTCAAATTTAATGGTTATTATCTAAGCCATTTCTTGTTTAATTTGAAGCAAAAAAATGCGTATCTAATATTTTTCTATAATGTGACTGACAGACCAAACAGAATTTCTTTTTTTACCATTTTTTTAAGAGTCAATATAGATAACATATTTGTGATTTGTAAATATGAAATAAGTAGTACCTACATAATACCTACTTTAAGTATCAATCAAATAAATGTAATTATTTGAACTTCGCTAGTCTTCATATTAGGTATCTACTATACCGTGTGAAAGGTTGTTGTTTGTTAGTCATCCTTTTACGTTGAAATGACACAAAGGATGCATTTATTTAGTTTTCTGTATGAATAAATTAATTGTAACAACAATGTAGAACTAGAAACGAACATAAGCCTGGTAAAAGTTTAATTACAGATTATAAAAGACATGGAGATTACGAATATTGAAAACATACAATATTGAGGGTTCGTCTACGTAAAAAAACTGTGGAACCTTGGCCACTGATTATTATCATTTGCAACTAAATGTCACATTTCCTCGGACACGATAGGACAGAAGTGGCAGACGTTCGGTCCTTGACCCTTTGCAATAGGTTGTTGTACATGGTCGTTTACGCATAGTAGGGTTGCCTTCCACTAGATTTGTACTAGTTTTAGGAGAGAGAATGCACCCAGAGAATTTTCCATTTGATCTGGTTTAGAAATATCTAATATAACCAGAAATAGCAATTATCGAAAATAGAGATATTGATTTATGGAACTGAAGATAGTTTGTATAAACTTTAGTCTTTATATAATTTAATCTATAAAGCGTAATCATTCCAAGCTCATGGGATCGTAAGGTGTTCTTTTTTCTTATAGTAACCCTGTCCTGTACCGTTGCGTACGTATGCATGTCTGCATCCACTTGTTTCGCCAACGCCAATTAATATGAGACTGCGCCCCTAGACCGATTCACTTCCTGACTGTAGTTCAGCCGTGCGTGCTTCCGTACGTAGCTAATGTCATTTTGTATTGTATGTTTTCATAAAATATATCTGACATTCTAGTTAACAAGATTTATTTTGTCTTTGCCTTAAATGACTAATATTAACATATATCTAATAATCCCACCTTGCGATATTTATTTATTCCCGAAAATAAAAGAAGTTGCCCTGTAACAGAGTACCCCAGATACGGGGCACAGTATATAGTTGACTTACTTGATTAATGTGCAATTTAAATTAAGTTGTTGGTAATAATAGTAATTGTTTATATCCAAGTCAATTAAAAGTTATTTAAATCCTTATTCTTTGTTACAAAAAATAACGTAATTATAAAAAATCAATAGCACTTCTACTACAACCCTTTTTGCCACAGTTCTTTTTACTAGATCACAAGACAATAAATATATATGTCACCATTGATTTGTGGGGAAGACATTGCAGTAATAATATTGGACTTCTGTCCTGCGATTCTTTAAAAATCCCGAATTCGAATTTACCGAGTTCACTTCAAAAAGCGGCATCCACTCAACCTCGAATTCGTAATAACGTTTCGTGGCATAAGTTAAGTGAGTTTCCAAATGGCATATGAATAGAATAACTGAGACACTTATATTTTTTTTTCTTTTTTATACAAAACATGGAGTCTTTTGAATAGGGATGATGACTGAGTAAAAAAAAATGCAATTCTATTTAGTCCGTCAGTCAGATAATAGAAAAATATTAGATACGTATTTTTTTTACTTCAATTTAACAAGAAATAGCTTAGATAACAGGCATTAAAGTTGAGGAGTGGGGGCTCGCTACGTCACAGTTGAGTAGAAACGTACCCTAACGTGACGTCATGCGAAATTTCAACTCCATGTAACGCCGTAATTTTATGATTACCAAAAAAATTAAAAATATACGTGTTTAATATTTTTTAACACTCTACCTGTCGGACAAACAAACAAAAATTAGTCATCATCCCTATTTCGACACTAAATGACGTGAATTCGGACACATGAGTGATTTTTTTTTTGTTTTTTTATGGAATAGGTGGCAGTCGAGCAGGCGGATCACCTGATGGTGAGTGATTACCACCGCCCATGGACACCTGCAACACCAGAGGAGCTACAAGTGCGCTGCCGGCCTTTGAGGGACGAATAAGCTCTACGCTTGAAAGTTTGAAGTTCGTATCGGTCCGGAAATACCGCTGGCGACAAACTGTTCCAGAGTTTGGCTGTACGAGGCAGAAAACTTCTAGAAAAACGCACAGTTGAGGACTTCCAACCATCCACATGATGGGCGTGGATTTCTTGTCGCGTGGAACGTTGGCGGAAAGTAGCGGCAGGTATAAGTCCGAACAATTCCTCGGAGCATTCCCCGTAATAGATGCGATAGAAGATGTACAGTGAAGCAACATCTCTACGCAGGGCCAGTGGATCAAGCCGACTTGAAGTGTCCCGGCAATCGACGATTCGAGTCGCTCTCCGCTGAATGCGGTCTAGAGGGAGAAGCTGGTATTGGGGTGCACCTGCCCAAAGATGAGAACATTATTTCATATGGGGCCGAACCTGCGCCTTGTAAAGCTGCAGGCGATGCGCCGGAGTGAAATATTGCCTCGATCTATTAAGCACACCAAGCTTCTTAGATGCTAATTTAGCTTTATCCTCTAAGTGACCAACTGGACCTCGCTCGATATGTCGACACCGAGAATCTCAATATTGGCTGAGGCAGTTAGGGGAATGTTTTGAAAGCGAGTTGATACGACAAAAGGGGCTTTTTTGGCGGTGAACGCGCAAACCTGTGTCTTAGTAGGATAGAAGTGGACCAAATTAAGTCGACCCCAGTTAGAGACTTCCTCTAACGAAGATTCAATATCAGACACAAGTTGATTCCGGCTCTCAATGACGCTTTCCCGAGAAATATTAGCACGACCGTTGCAGATAGTGTGGAGGGGGGTGCCGTGGTCTTATTCTTTCCCTGGTCATGTATGAGCGCAGTTTTGCCCCCCCCCCCCCAGAATACGAGGGGCGGCCCGGGCGCCCACGCCCATTATATTGCACCCTGGAAGTGAGCGTCTGGGGAGGGATTCCCCAACGCTAGCGCAGTTGGAACCCTCCTGGCGTAATACACTGCTTCTATTCAACTGCGCCATCATAGGGAGGGAAGGGCGGGTTGGGCCTCCGGTACCCTCACTCACACGACGAAACACAACGCAAGCGTTGCTTCACGTCGGTTTTCTGCGAGGCTTTGGTATCACTCCGGTCGAGCCGGCCCATTCATGCCGAAGCGTGGCTCTCCCAATTCGGGTTTGGATTTTTACTGAATCGTAGGGCAATGACAAAATGCAAGTAAGTAGTTGAGATTCTAGTGAAATACGATTATTATGTAAAAAATAACAGAATTGAATCCCAGGGGTCGACCACATATTTCGGTTGATTTTCATTGCAAAAAATGTTTGTGAAGCCTTTGTTTATTAGTTGTACCGAGCGTAATTAGCCAAAGTGCACATGTAAAGTAAAAATCATGATTCAAACGAAACAATCTTAGCGGTAAGTAATTTAGAATTTAACCGTTGTTTAGTTATACTATATATACCCGCAGAACATTATTAATACTCTTTACATTATTATTATCCTGTTAAGTAGTTAAAAGTCCCTCGAGTAGGTACACTTTTAAATATCCTGCATCGTGTTACTCAGAGATGTTAATCCTATGTTATCTATTATTATCTGCTTCAATATCGAGATCCTGATTTTCTGATTATTGACTTTATTATCTCTACATTACAAGATATGAATTTGGCTTGATAACATGCGGCTATGGTAGGTACTATAAATTATATTTTTTAAGAATTTGAATATTGAATATGAAGTAGAAGTGAGCTAGATACTAGTTACATAATGATAAAATATATAATCCTAAGCGAAACCGAATTAGTTATTAAAGTACCATTCAGCTAAAAACACGCATTGTAGTAAGCTTTACGTACAAACCCGAATAACTTTTACTGGACCAATGAAACCTCATAACAATTTCTGTGGGTCCAACAACGATTTTATTCAGAAACCTAACAAGATCGATTAATCGCCTCCGAAACCAGCTAAGTACACACTTTCCATAAAAAACATTGGAGCAGTTTCCATGATTACTACGTGTATACATATATCTATACAAGAATTGCTTGTTTCATCATATTAGATTTTATTAAAGGTAAGCATATTTGTAACCAAGGCTTACATTACGCGCATTTGGGATAGGCAGCTCACTTTTAGTTTTTAAAATGATGGTAATTTTGCATTCATGTTATTATAACTTAGTAACATAACAAACGAATAAACTAGCTATTTTATTGATTAATTAAACTAGAAACAAATAATATTATTAATAGAACACTTAGACTGTCCGTTCAAAGTTCATAAAAGGTCAAAGCGCAGCACAATTTTTCTGACATTTCACAGCATTCGAGAATGTTGAGGCAACACCCAAGGTTAACTCGAAAGAATAAAGAAAATTTTTAACCTAATGAAGGTAAATAATTCTTTTTATGCGCACCTACTAAGACAGTTGAGGCTTTTAGTATATTGATAAAGCGGTTATTTAAATTTAAATTTATGTGATAATATAATCGATTCTTATCAATGTCAAAACTTTCTTATCGGTTTCCAATCGACAAATAATATGCATCATTTAAATTCCTACTCTGATACCTTGGATACACGCATCTTGATTGCCTATAGGGATGACGACTGGGTAAAAAAAAAGGATTTCTATTTAGTCCGTCAATCAGATAATACAAAAATATTAGATAAGTTTTTTTTTTCTTTAATTTGAACAAGAAATGGCTTAGTTATAGTTGGGCTCGTTACGTCACTGTTTTGTAGAAAATGTACCATAGCGTGACGTCATGCGACATTTCAATACAATGTATCGCCGTCATTTATTGAACACGCAAAAATAAAAAAAATAAGTTATTTTAATATTCTTCAAAAATCCACCTGACGGACAGAAAAACAAAAATTACTCGTCATATTGCAAACTTAAAAGTGAAATCTTAAGAAAAGACGAAACTAAACGACCAAACGTGTTAATGTCTCTCATTTATTTATTTATTTATTTAATAGACAGCTCACATCTAAAGGACACAGCTTCATGAAACTACTTATCGAGGTGCATTTGATTTTCACTTAATTTGTGTAATATAGGTTTAAATAAAAGTTACGATGTGCTTAACGCTTACCAACTTAATTATAAAGTCTGGAACTATTTGTGACACCTATTTCTTTCGGCTTGATATGATAATGATAAATAACTCTTACGTGCTGTTAAATTACAATTTCACCTACTAAATGGGAAATCTCTTTGCATTGAGATACTGTTGTTACATCCAACATAAATAGAGAAACTTTATAGATTTTCACTAAGACTATCATCATTATAACACTGAGCTTATCAATTTGGAAAGCAATAAAAACTGATTTTTGCCAGTTGACATTATTCTAATCTAGCAATTGAATACAGAGCTGGAAAGTTACTAAAATAAATTAAAATTTAAAACTATCACGGGGCGTTAATTAGGTGCATTTCTAATACGGGTGTAGACGATTTTCTTTTTATATTATAGATATACTTGTAATATATTTAAAAAAAAAAACTATCTCTCATATATTAATTTAAAATCTAAAAATTAAATTCATTTTTAAAATTTCCCGCTAAAAGGCTAAACTCTGTCATGGCGTCGATGTAACGTCACAGCCCTCTGAAACTTCCTTAGAAGACTATGACGTCACGCGCTGTTTGCAGCCACGTGACAACGAGTATAAAATAAGTGTTTTTTCATAATTCACTTAAATAACATTAAAGATAAAATAAGCATGGTAGTGTGATTATCGGTAATAGTATATTAAACACTACCAGTGAAAAAAACATTTACTGACTATTAATTGAGCAAGTATTAAAAATAACACAACTTATTTATAATTAGGTAGGGATAACCTTCGAATAATTGTTGTAATGAAACAATTAGAAATTATTGAATTGAAAGTGGATCAGAGTCTAGCAATTTATAGTTTTAACTCATTATACCGTGAAGAGGTGATTTCACCGTAGGTTTCTCCCGTGACTTGTTTACTACTTACACATTAGATTTCTACACTTTTAAACAAAGGTACCTAGTCCATTACAAATCACAATGTATTGCGTATGGCATGCAGTGAAAATCGAGAATTTTAGACGGTCGACTCTAGCACTATACATTTATCGAAATTTCAAAATCGTTAAAATAATATATGTATTATTATATAACGCATATTATTTAGTAGGGATGTAACTGATACATATATCGACGATATTACGAATCTTCCAATAAATCGAAATCATCGGTATTAATTTGACCCTACACTGTAATACATACATTTTAAATTTCGAGAAAGATACGTACTATTTGTTTTAGTTTTTATACCCTTAGAGCTTTCTTTAATCTTCGATTACAATATTAGTATCGTATTGGCGACTCTTTTTATAAATATCGGCCGAAGTGCGTTTAGATGCCTCACTAATTTATAACAGCCATCGCATTAATAATAGTAATAAAAAAAAGAAAACAAAATTCATAAATTTCTCAACTTTTGATTACTTCTCGTAAATATATAGGGTATGATATGTTACAGTAATCATAATGGATTGCTAGTAAATAATAATAAAAATATTAAGAGCAATTCGTCATTCTATATCCCATAAAAAATCCGAAAATTAAACAATATTTTGTCTATACGCCGAGCCTTAACCTAGTACTGATAAGTCAGAAAGGTCAGCCAGCGGCCGCGCTAAGTAGGAAGGTATAGGTATACTTATTACTTTAGTCGAGAGATATGTATGCGTATAAAGTTGGTATGTGTTACCTAAATAGAAGGTATGTATATATTTTCTTTGGTATTACTCATGCCAATACGAATTACGATATATGTGCTCTCTTATCACATTTGCTAGAATCAAGGTCTAGCTACGTATTTGGTTGATCAACACGATTGTAATACTCCTATTATACTAGCTTTCCGCCCACGGCTTTCTATGCCCTTTCCTAAGGTCTTTTCTGTGGTACCTTTCATTAAAATTGACTCAGTTATTTTGAGTGTAAAACGTTAAACACACGCACGCGCGCGCACACATAGAAATACACAGCGATAATCACTTAAATGTCACATAAATTGAAAATTCCCTACAGTCTACCCTCGTTCGTCAGAAAAGGTACCTAGCCACCATCCATCTAGCCAATATTGATTAATATCTAACAAAATATTTTTGATCTTGAATCGTTATAGTTTTATCATGTAGTTAGTATAAGTATACAACAATGTAGGAACATATATGTTGTCAGCAAAAAGTTTTCGCAATCCGAATCCCAACTAAAGACTAAGAACTGAATTATATATTAGTCATAATCATAAAGCATCAAAATTAGTAGAGTCGTTTACGCTTGAAGACATAACAAACATAAGTATATGTTGTAATGTAATGAAATAAGAGATATCTACAATATGAAACCAGTGTTTATACGAGTACATTGTGATTAAACTAAATTCTTATAGTTACTATATAGATAATATATACATAAATACAACTTACGTCATCTGCAGGGAAGTCATAACATTCAGCTATCTTTTCATACAACTCTTTGACATTCGAAAACCCTGAGATCAGCCCTAATGGGCTTCCGTGTGCCTGCTGACAATGGAACACTAGTTGGGACTTCTGTGTCCCATTATTATTGTCCGCACCATTCTGCTGATGATATTCCTCCGCTGGAGTAGGTGGGACCGGAGGCGGCGTATACTTAGGCGCTTTTTTCTTAAAAAGCGACATCGCAATCGAGAACTTGTAACGGTATTAAGTTTTCCTTAGCGTGAATCTCACAGCGTACATACTCCACCCGAACACAATAATTTATTATCACTTTAGTCCTTATCTAGCGAGAACTTTAAAATGTGGTATCACGTCCACACAGCACATGATAAGTTATCGCCCAATGACGATATAGAACAAATTTATAGGTACGAGGTAATTTGTACAGTAATACAAAACGTTGTGGTGCAGCACACAGTTACTGAGAGTGACTGAATGATGTTTTTCCAGCCCGCTAGCGGACGGAGGCGGAGCGCCTCCCATGCCGCGAATGCGACCGGCTACATTCCCCGTCCCGCACCCACGTCGCGTCATCCATCACGATCGTATCGAGTCAGTCAGTCATTCAAACATTTGTAGTATCTACCTAAATAGGTACCTCAAACTATATCGTTTACAACGGCGCCATTCTGTTTTACTTACCACTCTTTGAATTAAATAACGGACGTTAGATAACAAAAAGAAACCTTTTAATTTGTGCATGTTTTAGCTTTACAATTATGCTCCTTCAAACTAGAATACAATTAGTTTTCCAGAATCGAAAACGCATTTTACAGGATTAAACAGCAGTACTAACTTCCATTAAAACTGTTTTAATTTAAAGCGATATTACCGATACAAATCTGACAGTCATTAGAGCTTAAAAGCGTTATTAAACCTTAATGGACTTTATGCAACTGACCGACAACATTATCTAGTTTCTGCAACAGAATTGCTACCATTAGCCATCCATATCCTTTAATATTAAACTTATATTAAATAAACCTGAAACAAATATAACTAAACAATATTTTGCATATATCGCATTATTAAGAGGGCATTCGACTTTACTTCATGTACAAAGAAATGACATCCCAATAAGCTGTAAATTGAAAATGAGATAACTACGTTGTAATCCTATGCAAGGGCACTGAAAAGCCCAAACCACGAGTTAATTGAAATTAAATTTACTCCGGGTCATCTTTTAATCAATGTTTTATCAGTCTGGGACATGAAGGCTATAAATAACTGAAGTTGTGACACTTTTAGAGATAATAATATATAGCGTTTGGCCGCATAATGCCTAATTCGCAAAATGGCCACCGGGTCTCTAAAGGACGACTTCGGAAAATGCCCACTTAGCTAAAGGACTACTTCGCGTAAGAGAGGCCATACACGTTAGGTTTTGCATGATGGTTTTACCTGTACATGCATAACCGACAGGCAAGCCCTAGCGTGTATGTGGTAAAACTGTACAGTTATCGGTGCATGTACATGCAACCGAGCAAATATCAAAATTGATATTTTATGCCGCTCGGTTATGTTTGCGCGCGAGCATAACCGAGCGTGTGTGGCGTCCGCGAGCTTGCCTGTCGGAGTTCTCAGTTTTTAATTTGTTGCGACGGCGGAGAGTCTCGCGCGCGCGCACCATCGCGTAAGAAGACTCAAGAAGGTTAATTAAACTATGTACCAATCTATTAAACTTGTCTAACAATTCTAATTTGGTTTTAATTATTTACTAACCTGTAGATAATCCGCTTTCAGAGCTTCATAAATAGCATCATATGTTTCTGGTATTATTCGGCCCAAAGCCTGAGGTGATAATAATAGCAGAATATTTAAGACACTTCCCTAGTAGCATTTTGGGTTGGCCAACCGTGCAATACGGTCGGGAACAAGTTGGGAAAACGTTAGTGAGATTTATTACAAAGTTCCAACTATCTGCCAACAGTTTTATTGCAGGAAAAAATACCATACGCACATCCAACTATGGCCCTACTGTCATTTATTGTTATTTTTTCTCACAAATATTTCTCACGTTAACCCAACGAAGGACCTACTATGATTTTTGGTTGGGTTGCCATCTTAAATGCCATACCAAAATTTTATATGGGCCCTACCATAGTTTTTCATTCATATCCCAACTGAAAAGCCCTACAAATTTTCAACCTGGGCCCTACCACGACTTTTAGTTGGAATCCTAACAAAAGTTCCACACAAAAATCTGCCGTGAGCCCAACCACAGTATTTTAATAATATGCCAACCGAAAATTCTTACTTATTTTCAAACTAGGCCCTACCACTACTTTTAGTTGGTATTGTTACGAACATTCCATACAAAATCAGGCGTAAGCCCAACCATAGTATTTTTATTAATATCCCAACTGAAAAGCCCTACAAATTTTCAACCTGGGCCCTACCATGACTTTTAGTTGGAATCCTAACAAAAGTTCCACACAAAAATCTGCCGTGAGCCCAACCACAGTATTTTGATAATATGCCAACTGAAAATTCTTACTTATTTTCAAACTAGGCCCTACCACTACTTTTAGTTGGTATTGTTACGAACATTCCATACAAAATCAGGCGTAAGCCCAACCATAGTATTTTTATTAATATCCCAACTGAAAAGCCCTACAAATTTTCAACCTGGGCCCTACCATGACTTTTAGTTGGAATCCTAACAAAAGTTCCACACAAAAATCTGCCGTGAGCCCAACCACAGTATTTTGATAATATGCCAACTGAAAATTCTTACTTATTTTCAAACTAGGCCCTACCATTACTTTTAGTTGGTATTGTAACGAACATTCCATACAAAATCAGGCATAAGCCCAACCATAGTATTTTTATTAATATCCCAACTGAAAAGCCCTACATAGTTTTAACCTGGGCCCTACCACAACTTTTAGTTGGAATCCTAACAAAAGTTCCACATAAAAATCTTCCATGAGCCCAACCAAAGCATTTTGATCGTATGCCAACTGAAAAGTCCTACTAATTTTCAAACTAGGCCCTACCACGAGTTGAAGCAGAAATTTTAACAAAAATTCCATAGAAAATATGGCGTAAGGCCAACCACGCTATTTTTATTAGTATCCCAACTAAAAAGCCCTACTTTTTTTCAAACTAGGCCCTACCACGACTTTTAGCCGGAATCCTAACAAAATCCCACACAAAAATCTGCCGTGAGATCAACCACAGTATTTTGATAATATGCCAACTGAAAAGTCTTACTTATTTTCAAACTAGGCCTTACTTTTAGTTAGTATTGTAACGAAAATTCCATACAAAATCAGGCGTAAGCCCAACCATAGTATTTTTCTTAATATCCCAACTGAAAAACCTTATTAATTTTCAAACTAACCCCTACCACGACTTTAGTTTTGAGTTTAGTACTAACATTAATATTTGTGAACATGCACAAAACTTTACAGACAGACTTCTTATTTATTCTTCTTTTATCTTGTAAACCTCTCATATAAAAATACTTCTGAAAAATCAAGTTTTATCATTTCATATTTTGCGGATTAAACTAATTAATAAACCATTTTTTTTTCCGGAGGTATAATTATTTTATTTAACGTTGATAATTCATTATATTTTTTTTTAGTTTTATTGTGATTATTATCTTCGTAGCACTTTTTAATCTTTATGTAGTGCCGTCCTTGGCCCATCTTCTTTCATAAAAATTGGTTTGAGCCCAACTGCAGTATTTTTATTAATATCCCTACTGAAAATGCAAAGAATGTCCCAAACATACTACCCCATCCTACCACAGTTTTGAGTTAGATTTTTAAGAAAAAGTTAATACAGATATCTGATGAGGGCCCTATCTAGTATTTTAATAATATCTCAACGACTCCCAACCGAAAACGCCAACAAAGGCTCAAAGAGGCGCCATCTTATTTTTGATTTAGCTAATGTTGCTAGATGTAAGGACGTTCTCCCAATTTGGACTATATTCTCAGCATCAGAGAAAATGTCAAAATATATATGCATATATTTAAAGAATGTTATGTAATGAGAATTCACTTGAGAAAATATCCAACAAATAAAATATTAAGGTATTACTTATTACTTACTCTAGAGATTTTTCTGACATAACACAATTTGACACCTTTGTACGATCTAATTTTCATTATACAACAGTACTACCATATTGTCCTTTACCAACATATCTTGGGTAAAGGAGAATGGTGACTTTGATTTGACAACGTTTTTGGGGGTAATCTATAAAAATTGCTTTGTTTGAGAATTACAGCATACTTAGATTAAAAACATTACATAATATCATTCGAAAGTATAAAAAGTTCTGTCTTTCTGTTTGTAAGGGGTAATCTCCGGAATGACTGAACTGATTTTGATGTTACTTTCACTGGAAGATAGTTTTTATTACTTTTTACCCCAAATTCAAGCGGGTTCGGGATTTACGCGGGAAAAATCGTGTTGACACAAAATCCTAACTACGGGAGTGAAGTCACGGGCAAGTTAGTCTATAATATAATTGATTTAACAAGATTTTCAAAAATTTATCGAAATAAATCTAACGTGTATAAACATGATACAAAATTATAAAAAAGCATTGTTAATGCTAAAATATTAAATTCAGTATTAGAATCGATTACCTCGGTAATAATCAGTACTAAATGCCATGCTATGCCTATAATTCAACCTCTTTGTTATATAATGAAATCACTATATTGACCTGTCAAATAGAAATTATTTTCAATTTCACGCTCTATTTCAAGGAAATACAGTAGGCCCCTAGTTGCGCTCAGGCATCATGTTAACTGGACCGAATAGTATAGCAGTACAATGTGTGGCGTGTGTGACATTAACATGTGCTGTTGTTCTCTTTCTCTATCTATTGTGATTTTAATAAATAATTACTCTGTATTTTGTCAAAACAATTTTTACTTAATGTAAAAAAAGACCAAACTGGTATTTTTTTTATATATCCTGTTTTTTATATCAAATAAGTAATAAAGTTTAGATCACCTTTTTGGAAGACATAAATCGGTCCTAAAAACAAATAATATCACAATAAGTTCTGTTAATTTTTATAAACGTACCGTATGTAAAAATAAATCGTTTTTTTTTTCAAATAATAAAAAAATAAACCATCTTTTTTACAGTTGGTTAAAAAATTAACATTACGGGTAAATTTGGGTAATTTTCGAATCAGTTTCGGACTTTTCTTGGGTGACTAGCGGCAACACTGCACAACCGCCGTTTGTTTGATGTCTACGTTTGAACCGCGTAAGTTTTTGTTGATTCCCCTTGTTTCAAATCATTATATAACAAATTAACATTTGAATTTGCCGAAATATGTACCTATCATAGTGTTAATCAACTTCGTTTTTTATTTATATAGATATAAAGATATTAACAATACACAATGTACAAGGTGGTAGAGTTTGATGATGGCGGCGTAGGCGTTATTCGACAACAATGGTCGAC